CTCTCTAAATAAGGATATCGTCCAGGGCCAAAAGATAACTTGAGGGCCTTAATTTTGACCTCCAAATATATCCTATCCACTCAGCCAACTCATCCTAGGTCATTATTTGTTTTATTTTCGTTTCAATTTTTTTTTATCGAATGACAAATACGGCTATATAAAACTCAGAAAGAGTACAACCGAAAACCAAGTTACAAGAAACGTTCTAACTGTCAAATGACAAAAAGAAACGAACCAGGTCAGAGTCACGTAAGCACAAGTGCTTCCCTTCCACAAAGGGAACAACTCTACAAAAGGCTCCCAAACAAGTAAAAAAACAAATTGTACATCGGGACACTAAATATCTCCATAAATGAGACTAACAAACAAAACAAAAACCTAACAAACAACTAAGTACTATAGACTAAAGTCCTCCCCAACTTCCAAACAACTACCCCGCCGCACCCACCCTACGAGCCAAACAAATCGAAGACGACCACACAATGAAGAACAAAAGCTTGTTACTAAATCTCAAATCCTCAGAAACTCCACATTTCAGAAAATGCTAAGGGTAGTCGTATCTAAGACCAAACAACAAAACCATCCATCAGCAGAACGAACAACGCACAACACCTGGGGGCTGAGATCCACCGTCTCTACCCCCAAAACGTCATATTACACAACCGAAACCTCCCCCAATCGAGCATATCCCCAACCAGTTGCCAAAAAATGTGACTGAAAACCTTCAAAGAGAAGGATCTCCAACTAATTGTCGGAAATCATGACTGAAGAATTCGGAAAGGAGCAGACTGAAAGAACCAACCCTCCCATCCACGAAACATATAGGGGGAAAGAGAAAGAGAAGGGAATCAACTTTGTCCCAACACTTGCCACCTCTGGGAGGCAAACGACAATGAACTTGATTTCTGCTAGGATTTGAAGAATTGAAAATGAGCCGTAAGATGAATTGCTTAAAGAAAGGACTTGAGGAATAATCCAAAACCCTGTTGTAACAATAAATTTTATAGAAAACATAAAACTTTTTGTACAACTTGATTTATATTTCGAGCAAATGATGTTGCAAGTACAATCTCTATTTATCTCCTCTGATTCTTCTCTTCATGAATTTGGGATTGAGACCTTCAAAGATGGATTTGACGAATGAATCTCCTTCGGGCTTGGTCTTGAATTTCTAACATTAATTTGGGGGTCGAATGACTTATTCCCGTATTAAATGTTAGGCTTTGACTTGATTGAAGAAGCCTTCTTGGAGGACTTGATTCTTTGATCTTCTTGAAAGATGGACTTTGACTTGAATAACGTTGACTCGAGGGCTTGATAGCTTTTTCCCGGAACAAACGCTATGTTGGTTGAACTTCTCAACGAACGCAGCTTGAATGTCGCTTGAACGTCGTTGATATTCTTGGATTGACTTGAGAGGTGTGGAAGTCGTCTCTTTACTTCTTGGGGAAGAGTCGCCGCCTCTTTTTCTTCTTATTGGCCTTCTTCTTCATTGAATGGATTTCGGGCGGTTCTTCAAGAACTTCTTCAAATCTTCAAGAGGGTTTTTGAGAGCCCTTGAATTTGAGACTTTAATCTTTGAGATGTATTTGATATGTTTGAGGTGTTTGAGGTGTGTTTTGTGGCATTAAGGAGAGCCCTATTTATAGGTGAAGGAGAAAGAGTCTTGGAAAAGAAGGCATCAATTTGATTGGTCCTTTTTTATTTGATATAATCTCTTTCCTTATCCTAAGATTTGATATTATCTCTTTCCTTATCCTAAGATTTGACTTGGTGGGCAAGAAATAATAACTTTATTAATTAAATATCTTATTTATCATGGATTTATGTCCAAAAATAAATAAATACATCAATTAATAAAATATTAAAATTTCGATGTCTACAAATGCCCCCTTGAGACTTGTTCACGGACAAAATATCTTGGTAGTGAATGAGTCTCAAAATTTTGAATTTGGGTTTGGACATGCAGATAGTTTAAACTCTTATCAAGGAGTTCTTCATTTGACTTGAATAGTTTAAACTCATGTCAAGGAGTTCTTCATTTGACTTGATTTGTAGATAGTTTATACTCGTATCAAGGAGTTCTTGATATGTAGACCTTTTATTCTCGTGTCAATGAGATCTTGATATGTAGACATTTTATGCTCGTGTCAAGGAGCCTTCAAGTTTGTAGACATTTTATGCTCGTGTCAAGGAGATCTTGATATGAAGACATTTTATGCTCGTATCAAGGAGCTATATAGAGAGTTTAAGCTCATATCAAGGAGCATATGTAGATAGTTTAAGCTCATATCAAGGAACATTTGAATATGTAGATAGTTTAGGCTCATATCAAGGAGCATTTGAATATGTAGATAGTTTAAGCTCATATCAAGGAGCATTTGAATTGGATATTTGGATAGTTTTGGCTCATATCGAGGAGCTTTATCGATAGTTTAGGCTCATATCAAGGAGCATTGTAGATAGTTTAAGCTCGTATCAAAGAGCGACGAATTTTTAGATAGTTTAGGCTCATATCAAGGAGCATTTGAATATGTAGATAGTTTAGGCTCGTATCAAGGAGCATCTGAATATTTGATGGAGCTCTTCATGTGACTTGCCCCCATGGAATTTAAGAAGTATATGGAAGACCGATTTTGTTTCTCCTCCATTCGGCTGAAGACTTCATGGCTTGATGAGATATCATCCTTAGTTGCCCCCTTGTATAATTTATTCAAAGAGGTCTTCATGCATCTTCAAAGATCTTCGAACTTGGTTTGAAGAGAAAAGATGAGAGGTAGAAATGGTCCCACCGGGCGTGCAAAATTTGTAACAACAAATTTTACTTCGAGTCCCACCGGGCGTGCCAAATTTGTAACAACAAATTTTATGAAAACATAAAACTTTATGTACAACTTGATTTATATTTCGAGCAAATGATGTTGCAAGTACAATCTCTATTTATCTCATTTGATTCTTCTCTTCATGAATTTGGGATTGAGACCTTCAAAGATGGATTTGACGAATGAATCTCCTTCGGGCTTGGTCTTGAATTTCTAACATTAATTTGGGGGTCGAATGA